CGCCGACGTCGGCGGCCACCGCCACGCGAGGCGCAGGCCTCGGCGACGCCGCCCCAGCGAGGGCGCCGCCCGGCGGTGGCGGCAGCAGCAGCAGCACGGGCGGCGCGCCGCGCGCCGCGCAACGGCCCGCCGCCCTGGGCGCGCCCCCGGAGCACAGGCTCGGGGGCTCAAGCGACGGGGGTCAATGCAGAGCCCCCGAGCCCGTTGTCGGAGGGGGGGGCGTCTCCTGCAGGCACTGGACCTTTTCTCAAGCTGTTCCTGGATTGGAGGCGCTGGGGGCCCTCTTCTGGCTGTCGCTGCAAGCGCACTGTCAAGGCCGACCTGAACCTCGTCCTGAGACATGGCGGCCAAAGCCGGCCGAGCTGGACGGGGAACTTGTCGGGGCTCAAGCGACGGGGGTTAATGCATACGGGGCTCAGCCAGAGCGCCAGATCCTGCAGGATCTCAGTGTGCACAAAGCAGGGCAACTCCATGTTTGCAGCTTTCTTTTGGATAGCTGACCGTCGTTCTCTTGTTGCTCCAAGCTAGGAGCGGCTTTCGCAATTTCTGCAGCGTCAGCACTGCTGTTGTCATCATCCGAAGTAGCCTTCAGAGTTGTCACAGCAGCCTTCAGTGCTGACAAAGCAGATTAGCAGACCGGGTAGGTGGGGTCCGAGTAGGTGGGGTCGGATGATCGCGCCGCATCCCCGATGCATCGCCGATGCATCGGCGATGCGGCGCGATCATCCGACCCCATCTACTTCGACTCCGTCCAGGAGGCCTCTCATCAAGCGACGGCGTCAATGCAAGCGGGGCTCAGCCAGAGCGCCAGAAAAGGTACCCATACCGCTACCTTCCCTCGTTTTCCCCTCATTGGGCCTCCTGGGTGGCCCCCGTCGCCACTGCTGGATTCGCCTCTTCGTCCTTTTCAGACCGCACCCACGAAGAGGTCCAGGGAGTAGCAGTATCGTTACCGTTGGTTTACCCAGCGGCACCGTCGGTTCACCCAGGATTTTGTAGAGCAAGGGGTGCCCTGACCCCGGGCTTGCGCGCAGGATCTTGCAGGATCCTGCAAGATCCTGGAGGATCCTGCATGGGCTGACTGGGTCGGGTGTGCACTGCCTCGGGCCAGCGCGTCCCGGGCAGGCCCTGGGGCCTCTGAGATGTCGTCGTCGAAGAGCTCGCCATGGGCAGAACACTGGGTTTTGCTGTAAGCTCGCGAAGAGGCACCATCGAGTGCAATGTGTTCTGCAGTGCGCGCGGCCACCGGGCAGAAGGAGGAGGAGGAGGGAGGAGGAGGAGGAGGAGGAGGAGGGAGGAGGAGGAGGGAGGAGGAGGAGGGAGGAGGAGGAGGAGGAGGAGGGGAGGAGGGAGGAGGAGGGAGGAGGAGGGAGGAGGAGGGAGGAGGAGGGCAGAAGACATAGCCGCAGCCGCGGCCTCGCGGGCCGGGCCTCCCCGGGCCGCGTCTCCCCGCGGACACGGGGCGTCCTCTCCGCGGCGGCCCTCCGCGCGGAACGCGCCCGTGCGACCGCGCATCCGCGGGATCGCGCCCCCTCTCTCCTCCTCCTCCTCCTCCTTCCTCCCCTCCTCCCTCCTCCTCTCCTCCTCCTCCTCCTCCCTCCCCCTCCGCCTCCTCCTCCCCCTCCCCCTCCTCCTCTCCTCCTCCTCCCCTCCTCCTCCTCCTCGCTCCGCCTCCTCCTCCTCCCCCTCCCCCTCCTCCTCCTCCTCTTGCTCCTCCTCCTCCTCCTCCTCCTCCTCCGCGCGGAACGCGCCCGTGCGACCGCGCATCCGCGGGATCGCGCCCGGGAATCCGGACCGCGAGGTCGCTCGGGAGCCTCGAGACGGGGGTCAATGCCAACGGGGGTCGGCCAGAGCGCCGGATCTTGCAGGATCCTGCAGGGCCAGGGTCGCAATGACCCGGGTTTGGGTGCAGGATCCTGCAGGATCCTTCGCATTGACCCGGGTTTGGACGCAGGATTTTGCAGGATCTTGCAGGACTCTGCAAGGCCTGATTGACCCGGGTCTGGATTGACCCAGGTCAGCAGGTCCCCGAGTCGCGCCTGCAGACATTTACCAGCCTGGAACGTACCCCTAACCGCATGCCGATGATAATAAAGGGACCCCCCCCCTTCAGTGTTTAGAGTTGATTATCGTCGCCCTATACAAAATTCAAATTGGGCGGCGAGCGCTGAGGCCGAACTTCATTATCACCTCGAAACGCTATGTTGAGATAGCAACATCAAGCGATGTTGATATAGCAACATCAAGCGAAGCGATCACACTTTTTCAGGATGTGTCAAGCGAAACCAATGTGTGTATGTATCCCCGCGCGCGCCTGAACTTTTTTTATCTCTGGGGTTGATTATCCATGGAAAGGGGAGCACATGAGCTACCCTACATGAGCACTTACAAAAATCAATTTTCATAAAGCGTGTGTAAATTAAAAGTGATAGATTTGGAACTTTCCATTTTTCCGTTCTTCTTCTCTTCTTCTTCTTCTTCTTCTTCTCTTCTTCTTCTTCTTCTCTTCTTATTATTCTTCTACTTTCCTCTTCTTCTTTTATATTTCTATCTGTCCTCACGCTCGCCTGAACTTTTTTATCCCTGGTTTTGATTATCCATGGAAAATGAAGCACATGAGCTACCCTACACGAGCACTTAACAAAAATCAATTTTCATAAAGCGTTTGTAAATTACAATTGATAGATTTGGAACTTTGGATTTTTCCTTTCTTCGTCCTCTTCTTATTCTCCTCTTCTTCTTTCTTATTATTATTCTACTGTATTCTTCTTCTTTTATATTTCTCTCTGTCCCCACGCTCGCCGGAACTTTTTTATCGCTGGGGTTGATTATCCATGGAAATTGAGGCACATGAGCTACCCTACACGAGCACTTGCAAACAACAATTTTCATAAAGCGTTTGTAAATAACATCTAATATATTTGAAACTCGAGATTTTCACAAAACGTGTTCGGCTTGGTCTCCTCTTGATCATCTCTTACTTCGAGATTATGCTGAGGTCTGCTGGGCTACTTTTATTATCTCTCCCTGAACCCCGAACTTTATTATCCCCTAGTGTTTATTCTCACGGGCATGAGGTTATCCCCATGCCGGGCACCTCCTCGTCACGGTGCCAATCTCAGGGATTCCTTTACTTTTGGAGGGCGGATCCCTAAGATTGTCATCACCTTTTGGCGTGCCAATTTTAGGGATGGGGATACGTTCGAGGCTGGTAAGACATGCTCGCCGCCCCCGAGTTCGTTTCGTAGGCTTTTCCAGCTGTGACGGGGCAGCTTCAGGGGCAGCGTCGCCGAGAATACAAGAATCAGGAGGGAAAACACACACACAGACACAATTAATCGTCGATCCCCCAGAAAATATGGGAACATATGAGAAGTGGGGGGGAAGACAGAAGCCCAGACAATTCAGGAAATATGGGGTATATTTTTATGTGTGTATTTATTTGTGTGTTCTGGGGCCCCTTCAAATACAAGAACCCTCGTCCTCAGAATCCAAACAGAACGTGGCCTGGCTTGAGTCCCCGTCTTTGCACTGGGGATCATAGGTCTGAGCTGTTTGGTGCATGCGTCTGCAGAGAAGACCCTCTATATTCCTACTGTTGCTGGCCCTCCTAACTTAGGCCCCCTCCCAAAGGGTGAGGAGCCCTCTCGTTACTTATCATTGGGGGGGCGATGAAATCTGGGCAGCGCCAAAGGGGCCGTGAGGAGGAATAGGAGGAGGAGGAGGAGGAGGAGGAGGAGGAGGAGGAGGAGGAGGAGGAGGAGGAGGAGGAGGAGGAGGAGGAGGAGGAGGAGGTGCGAATACCGCCGCTCGGCCTGGAGAGCCCTCGTCGCCGCGGCTAGATCCTTGGAGGTCTGGGCCCTAGGGGCAGCGGCACTGGCACTCGCTTCCCAGCCATCCTGTGGCACGGTCGGACCGAGGCATAGGATCGAGGTCGGTTCGGGGAGGGTGCCTTGATGTTCGTCGTCGTCTTTGTTGGGTGTTCTTTTGCATCCTGTGGAGGGTACCCTTGGATGGTTTGTGTTTTTGGGCCCGGCGGAGGGTCTCGTGTGTCTGAATGATGTTCTTCTGTCCAAGATGCGACCGTATCGGGTAATCGTTTTGAAGAGACAGCGTCCCGCGTCATTCCTTCCTTCCTCCTTCCTCCTCCCGCCTCTCCCTCCTCCCACCCCTGCCTCTGCCCTCAGCATGTCCACTTTGAGACTCCTCTCACGAGGATCGTGGCCCTCTTGGGAGCTCCATCGAAGGCCCCCAATGGCAGGGTCCGCATGCGTCCCCCCGCCCAATTCGGATTGTGGGCCCATGTGGAACTCTCAAGGCCCTAGTGGCAGGGTCCACATGCGCCCATTTCGGCACACCCCCCACAAGGATAGTGGCCCCAAATGGGGGTTCCACCGAAGGCCCCACTGGCAGGGTCCGCATGCGTCTCCCCGCTCAGTTCAGACCGTGGGCCCATAGGGAATTCCACCGAACGCCCCAGTGGCAGGGTCAGCATTGTCCCCCTCCGCCCATTTCGGCACACCCTCAACGCCGACAGTGGCCGCAAAGGGAGCTCCACCAAAGTCCTCAGGGCAGGGTCTGCATGCGTCTCCCCGCCCATGTCGGGACGCCCATCACAAGGATCGCTGAACCATAGGAAGCTCCTCCGAAGGCCCCAGTGGCAGGCTCTGCATGCGTTCGCCCGCCCATTTCGGCACGCCCCTCGCGAGGGTCGTGGCCGCACGTGGAGCTCCTCCGACGGCCTTAGTGGCAGGGTCCGCATGCGTCTCCCCGCCCGTTTCGGCACACCACTCAGTAGGAGCGTTTGCCCACCAGATGTTCCGCCGAAGGCCCCAGTTGCAGGCAGGGTCCGCATGCGGTCCCCCGCCCATTTCGGCACCCTCCCCACGAGGATCGTGGCCCCAAAGGAAGCGCAACCGAAAGCCCCAGTGGCAGGGTCGGCACGCGCCTCGCGAGCATCGTGGTCCCGTGCGGAGCTCCACCGATGGCCTCAGTGGCATGGTCCGCATGCGTCCCCCGCTCTTGTCGGCCCGCCCTCAGGAGGACCGCTGGCCCATAGGAAGCTCAACCGAAGGCTCCAGTGGCAGGCAGTGTCCGCATGCGCCCCTCCCCCGCCCATTTCGGCACGCCCTCGCGAGGATCGTGGCCTCACGCGGA